TGTTCACAGAAGAGGAACCAACTTGGTTCTTGCCTTTAGGATTGTTATCAAGTTCTTGAGTCCTTAAGAACCCTTCAATCCGTAAATGACTTCCAAGTTGAGTCAAAGTTAATTCCTCATTGTTATGTTTCAGATTATGTTTAAAATCTTTCCAGGAAGAGGGCAATTTGTCAATGATCACAGCCACGGAAATGGCTTCATCCATGTTCAGATTGCGTTGAGAAAACTATCCCAGGATCCTTATCATTTCATGGAATTGTTCCATAACAGGCCTGGAGTCAGTCATCTTATAACCCATAAAGTTACTTACAAGAAACTTCTTGCTTGAAGCATCTTCAGTCATGTACTTGGATTCAAGAGAATTTGATAGATATCAAACAGAGAATCAGACATACCATTGAGAATATGACCACGACAGATGTAGTCATCATTGTCCCACTTTGATCTCCTTCTTGTTGCCTCTAAAGTTTCATCTTCAGCAAATTATGGCATTGGTGTACTCAGAACATACGCTACTTTCAGATAGTAAGGAGAAAGTGCATTTTCTTCTTCCATCTACGAAAATCTTGCCCTTCAAACTTGTTCAGTTTGTCAAACTTGCTTTTCATGTCCTTCACAAATTCGCCACTTGCCATGATCATAGAATGCTTTAATCTTTGTTAGAAAATCAGGGTATAGATATAATTGGATCAATGAGAGTTGTGAAACACTTTCAAATTAAAGCATTTCGAGGGTACACTCAAAATCTCTAATCAGATGAAACTCACTGTTTTCTAGAATGGATAATGAAGATGTTATCAAATCTGTACCCAAAAATGATTTCGAAAAATGATCATATAACAGGAACTAACTTCCTGTCTTAAAACTGTCATATGGTAGTTGCAGGAAAACAACTTCCTGTCCAAAAATTGTCATATTACCTGTCACAAACTAACATAACACCAGGTCTATAAATGGATCACAAAATCGGGTGTATTTTAAAGAAAATACGGATTTCTGAGACATTTTTATATATCAACTTAACTCATAAAAAATTTATGCGCTGACCTGGCAGCTCGACCCCAGCCAGGGGCTCTGCCTCTTGTACCCCGCCAGGGGCTGCTGCCCCTTGGACCCTGCTCCCAGGGGCGCTGCCCCCAAACACCCGTTAGTTCAGGGGGCTTTGCCCCTAAATAGCAGTATACTTTCAACAATGATAAAATTAAGCACATGTGCACTCCGCACCATACCGATTTGTTCAACAATTGTCAAAGTGACATTAATCAACAAATTAACCCAATTACACTTAAATAAAAATAGTGATATAAAATCACCAACATTAAGTATGTTGTTAGTTGTAGATTGTATGCTTGTTGTCTTTGTGATGCTTGCATGGAAGACCAGAAGGTGGCTCTTGGCACTTTTCTGTAAGACCCAGGGTATTGGCCCCCGGCCTGGCAAGGAAATACCATGATACGGCTCGTGGCACAATGACAAGACTATGGATGGCACATAGCATTTTCTATTGTATGTATGGTATGCGGTATTTTGGAGAACTCACTAAGCTTTGTGCTTACGGTTTATTGTTTATGGTTTCAGGTACTTCCGGTTCAAAAGGGAAGGGTCTGGCTTGATCGCAGTGCATACACCCATGTTTTTCTACAACTTTGTGATTTTGGGATTGTACTCTGATAACTGTTTTATTATGAAATACTTCTAAATGTTTGTTTAAAGGATAAATGGATGTTTTGATTATGTTAAAAATGAAATTATTACCTTGAAATTTTAGGATGTTACAAGTTGGTATCAGAGCCTTAGTTTGAGGGATTCGGGCACACTCTCGAGTGTGACTGAACTCAAACTGAGGAATTCGTAATTTTTTCTTAAAAAGAAAACATGTTTTAAAAGATTTTTGTAAAAGGAAAGAAATTTCTAAAAGGACTTTTGTAAAGACAAAGGGGGTGTGATGCGTGCAATCGGCCAAGCTCAAGTAAGTGATTCCCAGAATACCCATACATGTTTGATATGATTATATGTTATGAGAATTGCATGCTAAGATGAGTCTAGGGATACTTTCAGGGATTGCATGATAGATTGGCCTGTCTTTCAGCCTAGGGAGCATTGGATGATATGCTAGATTGGGAATATGTATTGGTATTAGTAATTGCTAACTGTATGCTTTAAAAATTATATACGGTTAGGATGATATAGCCTTAAAATGATTGATTTGGCCTTATTTCATGTTCCTCGTTTGGTTGTGGTCCTAGGGTAGAGTCATTTATTCGATAGTCTATTTGATTATGTATTGTGTATAATTTGCATGCATAAGGCATCCGAAGGTGAGAGTGGAAGTTCCTTGCATGAGTTGCAGTATGTGAGTTTGAATGTTCTTTGGTTATGCAGTGGAATGGAGTGATATTGCACGAATGTTGCTTGCTTTGTGCTTTGTGGGACTCTTAAGTGATGTGAGTTAGCTGTTGAGTGAATATGTTAAGTCACGTGTGACAAAGGTTGAAAAATCTCAGAGTGATGGATTTGACCCTATTGCGCAACTCTCGTTTGAGTCTAACCATTGTAGGGATGAGTCTGTTACTTGAAGGATTATCTGAGCTTTGTTGCATGTGATTGTATTTGTGAGATAGCTAACTGACATTACGGGGAGTTCTTCAGCAGTTGATGGCAGGGTGAAGTCAGAAAGCTAAGAAAGCCTAGGAAGTGCTTAAGTGGGTTTAGTTACGCTGTTTAGCGATCACTTGGAGTATCAGTTTGAGAAGGCGACCTAGAGGATTCGAGATGATTCTTGAGGAAAGTATAGATAGGTGTGGAAGGTAGTATTGAGCTCGTACTACTGAAAGCACAGGATCCATACTCGAGTCGGGGAGAGTCTTAGAGAATCTAAGAAGCCAATGGGATGAGGTTGCTTGGGTATGTTCTCATCTTTTGCATGTTGTTTTTTCAGTTGGTGATGAGCACTCAGGAAGGAGGTTCAGATTTTGGTTCCGACTCAGGTTCAGGTACTGAGCCGATTAGCGAGCAGATGTGGGAGTTCATCTCGTCGAAGATTACCCACGACATTTTGGAGCAGACTCATGTGATCTTTGGTACGTTCAAGGAGGGGATTTTGAAGATTTTCGATGAGTGTCTGGGTGCATTCTGCGCTGAGGTTATGGCTATTTTCGGAGCTCGCACTCTTTCTTTCCGTGAGTTTCGTGCTCGTGGAGCTCCCGCGTTCTTTGGGGAGAAGAACCCCATTGCCAGTAGGACATGGTTATCAGATATAGCTAACGCGTTCAAGAAGAGTTTCTGCCCCGAGGGGTCGAAGGTCAGATTTGCTTCCTGTCTTTTGAAAGACTGAGCTCAAGATTGGTGGGAGGAGGTAGACTTCGCCTTGGGAAGCGAGGCCCTGGAGACGATGACTGAGGATGAGTTTGTGACTCGGTGTAGGTTTGAGTTCGCACCAACTATTGAGGATAACAGCTGGCGAGAGAGTTTCAGGAGCGTCGTCAGACTACGAAGACTGTGGCAGAGATCACTGGGGTTCTATTGGTTCCACAGTATGCAGCGGATGAGGAAATGAAGAAGGTAAGGTATCATTATATGTTGAGGGATCACATCAGGGAGTTCGTGAGTATTTCAGGGTGCAAGACCCTGAATGATATGATTTCTAGAGCCCGAGAGCACTAGAAATATCCTTCTTTATTTTCTTGGGATTATACTTCAATCACTATTAATTGTATCTTGAATACAAACACCAACTAATAAGGAGATAAAAACACTTTGTAAGATTTGTATGGAAATGCTCCATCCTTATCTTACTTAATGTTTTATGAATTTAAAACCTATGTTAGATTAAAGCTTATAATCTTAAGATCTACAAAATACATATTTGTATAATACTCTAAAAGGTTGTTTAGATTATTATATACAAACCCACCAAGAATAAGTTTTCTTGTTCCTCTAAAAGTTGAGTTAGCAGAAAACAAGCTTTTAATGACAAATGAAATAGGAGGCACATGAAACTTGAAGCGACTCAAGAACCATAGTCTGATGTAGCACAACTTGGCACTAGTTTTAACAAGAAATTGTTAAACATGAATAATAGTTATTCATAAAACACAAATCGTTCGCAATATTGGTATAAATCATCTATGACTTGAGAAATGTGGAATCCCTCATTGATTCGTACAACATGGTTGGCCTAACTACCACCCTGTAATATTTTTCCCACAATACATATGTAACAGTCCTCCACTTCAACCATGTTGCCTTTATATGATAGTTAATGCATAATGAACTCCTCATTCTTTATGGATCATAGCGCAGATGCTTGAAACTCTCATTTGGGTGAAGATCTACTCATACAAACATCTACAATCTACTCAATCATTATGAACCCTAAAATTGCAAAAGGCATTTTGTCGAACTGTATTGGTCTATAAGCCTTTCTCTTCCAACATCGTGTTCCAAACATCCAACTTTGCATTCTAACTAAATGAACATACACCACGACACCCCTCCAAGGATCTTATGAGATAACTCATCCAAGATCAAAGTGAAGATGTATGGTGATACGTACTAATCTATAGAACGGGTGAAACTACAATGTTTGAAAGTAGGTTTATTATGGTACGAACCGAACCAAAAATAATAATAATAATAAGTAAAAATCAAAAACAATGGCAAAAGACTTGGATGTTGAATTGAGGATAAAGTATTTAAACAACACCAAAATTAATCAAATTGACAAAAGTTGAATACTAATGGTGATAATCCATATAACCATAACAACAATATCCACACCTTATGTGTATAGAACACTCCAAATAGCTTTATAAGTTAATATTCGATATCAAAGATGTCATACTATAACAACTTGGAAACCTTTATACGAATTCATTCCCAAACAAACATTTTATTCTTGCTTTGAAAAAGAAAGCTTAAAAGACTATCGAAAGCAACAGAGTTGGAAAATATTAAAGAGCTATTAATTGAACTCATAACTCAAATAAATGAGTTGAAGGAGTCAAGATTGATCTACAACATAGAAATAGAACACTTTAATCTTATAAATATAGTGAATTCATCATATTTAACCTTGAGCACATGTCATTGTACAAAATGTTGAAAATAATTTACCTAACAAACCTTACCTCTTTTTGTTTATACAAGTTCTAGCCATTAGTCAAAGGTGCAACTTCATTGACCAACACCCCAATATGCAGCATTACCAAAATAAGCAGTTTTTCCCTTCAAAAACCCATGCACATAATTTTCTTCAATCTGAAATCCATGAATCACATACAACTTACACAAAAAGCTAAAAGTAATTGCAATTAAATATGAATATATATAAGTTATAACCTCAACATTTAGAGGAGGAGAAGAGAGCCACGAAAGTTGTTCAACTTCACAAACATCCACATTTCGAGGCAAAAACATTATGATGTTTGGGGTTATTGTTTGAGCTACTTGAAACAATGTATACCTAAATATAAATTATAGAATGCAATTATTATATTTATATGCATCACAATTATCTATCAACTATGATAATTACAATTTAGTGTAGCATGAGAAATAGTATGACATACCCATTAACTGGCTTGAGTAAATCGAGTGTAAAATTGTGTGTATTCTTATATGAAGGCCCTCCCCATGGTGGAGAAAGAAATGCTACATTACCCTTAACATAAACATGATAACCAAAGAATCAGATTATATTTTATATCACAGGAAAGTTTCAATTTTTCAACAACAAACTATGACCAAATGATTACTAACAACTAGTTTGGTTGATTAGGGTTTATAAGCTGTAAGAAGATTGTAATGAACAAGAATACCTTTAGAAATGGTGCTAATTGCAAAAAGTCACCGACTATGAAATCAATATAATTGTCCACACCATAGATCTTTGCATTGTTTGATGCCATTTCAACCTTTCGAGGATCAATATCTATGGCAATAACGTGATACCCCCTACAAAGTACATACGAACATCTAGTGATTCCTAAAAAAATCTGAAATGTGTAATTGTTATATGATTTGGAAACGTAGGGACTTACAATGAAGCAAATTGAATGGAATTGCCACCCATACCAGCAAAGCAATCAACCACCACTCCACCGCCAACGCTCCGCTGGGCATGGCGGACTGCAATTTCCTCCGGCGTGACTGAGAACCATCCTTCTTCGTCCATTTTGATACCTTCATCGTACCTTGAAAATAAACTGTATCGTTGTAGCCAGTACTTCTTAATCTTAGGGCTGATAATAGGGTGTGATTCTTTACTAGCTCGAAATTTCGCCCTAATATTCACTGGTTTCGGAATGCAAACCATTAACGGAGAAGCTCAGAAGGAAAATTTGAAGATAAAAAACCAATTTCTTGACATCACTTTGTAAATGAAATTGAAAGCAACTTTCTTACCCTCTTGTTTTCGAAGTTTTCTGCGCTTCTTCGATCGACGACTTGCCGTTGTCATTGTGTAAACTGAAACATGACGCAGAGTTGAAGACGAAGAGCTTGCCAATTGCCCCCATGGCTATGGGAATTTACCATGGATTATATGAGATGGGCTTCCGCTTTAGAAAAGGCCTTCTTTATTGGGTCGACTGCTTTAGTGTTTTAAAATCTCATTGTATCTCCAACTTGTGGGCTGTGGCCCATGAATCTGGGCTTATTCATTTGTTTAGTCAAAACCAATTAGAGGTGAATATATATATTATATATATATATATATATCTATATATATATATATATATATATATATATATTATGCTTGGTTTATGGCAGTTTGACTTATGAATTTTGTTTTTGTTTGAGAGGGAATACACCTTATGGAAGTTTGAGCTAAATGAGTTACTTTTTTTTGTATTTGTGTAATTTACATGTATTATTTCATGCCTAATATGGTTGATATTGTTTTCATAGCGTTAGTTGTTATCAAAATGAAATTATATTCATTGTGGTTGATATGTTTTTTGTTTGGGAGTAATTTGTTCATTTTGGTTGTGTATACATATCATTCATTCTATGTTTTGAAGAAGATAATGATATTGATGATATTGATCACATACAATTCATTTGCAAGATAAGAATAACACACACATGAGTTCCTTAATGTGCAAACCATTTATTATTTTATTGAATCCATTTTCATGCATATTGTGTTTAGATAGTCATGCCTTTCAAATGTTTGGTTCCTTAACCACACTATAAATGGAGCACCAACATGAGGATAAGGACTTAAGAAGAAAGTTTTTTAGCTTCAATGTTGAATCAAAGTGTTATGCAAATTTTCCTTTGGGGTTGTCTTTCTTTTCTTCTCTTGCATTTTCATTACGGGTGACATGAACTCGTGAAGATTAATGCCAAAACCCAAAATAATGCCTTCATAAACAGTCATTTCCACAAGTTCTTTTCATTCTTCTTTTAAAAATGTGCTTCCATAATGGATTGTGTTGCATTACCTCTAGTATGTTTTGCGAACAATTTCTGTCTTTAGCTTTCATCTTCCATGTCTCTAAAATCAGCGATAACATTCTGCCGCATATAACAAATAGAACTTGGGCCCGATCATTTGGATTAAAATAAAGCTAAAAAATACATATTTTCTCTTTCTTGAAGTAAAAAAGAGGAAAAGGTAAACAAATAAAGTAACCCTTCTAAAATTCTTCTCCAAGACACTAAAAAGGAAGAAAAAAAGTTCTCTTTTGCCCCCTTCAGCTTCTTTTATTGTCGCAAACACAAGAAACAAAATATAATATAATGGCACATGATGCCATTTAAACTTCAATATGCACTCTAGCAACTTCCAACAGAAAAGAGTACAAAATTATGATTAAAAAATCATGAGAGAAAATTTACTTTCTATTTAAATTTTTTAATTCTTAATAAACATCCAAAAAATCCATATATATCTCATCCCTCATCTCTAAATATTATTAAAAGAGAACCCTAAATTCATCAATGAAGCAATCAGAGTCCTTGAATGTATTTCAATCCTATGATTTTCACCCTTAGATCAAATTGCTGACATCATCTTCCCAAAATATAATCCAAACATGTAATTATAGAATCTTTAAATTTAGCAATTACATTTCAAACATAATTACATTTAATTATATAATCTATCCATATTTTCTAATATATATTTCACAATCCGGTGTGGTTGGATTCTGTTCAACAGCCCAAGGACTTGGAGCGCATCTTTTGTTGTTTCCACTGCTTGAAGTGATTGTTACGACCATGAAGAAACGACAAATCCTAACTACAGATATATAAGAGCCAGAACTGCTCAGGGCATTCCATCCAGCGTAAGCATCTGGATAATCTGGAATGCGACGTGGCATGGCGAGACAAAATGGGCGGGCACGGGCGGTCTGGTCTCCGAGCCGATTGGTCAGACGACGACTACTTCATTTATTAGATTAGTATTAGCCGCCTATCCCGGAATGGAATGTGATGGAATAGAAAAAACAGGAAGCGCTATCGGTTCGGTTTTTTTGGGAGGGAGAAGCTTGTGAAGAAGGAAACTTATCCCCGCCCCGACTATCACAATTACATTTAATTATAGAATCTTTAAAATCAGCAATTACGTTATCAATTAAAGCATATCATTCTATTTATATATGAGATATCAGTTTTTCCATAAATCTGGCCAAAAAACATGAATATAAGCCCCACCTTTCTCCTCTATTTTTTTCTCTTAAACCATAATTCACTAATACTCTTTGTCCTCATGTCAATGGTTGTGCTTCAATTAATGTTTTGTGTGTTCATAACAGAATGTAGCACCATAAGATGGTTCCTTTTTGCTCATTTATTCTTAGAATTTGCGTATTGCATTTTCCTTGCATCTCTAAGTATCACACCTCTGTTTTGGCTTCACACAAATCTCTACAAACTGAAGCATGCATATCCTTCAAGACATCTTTTGACGATCTATGCCATCATTAACCCTAATTAATATTGTTCATAATTTAACTCCTTTATTTATAGCTTTTTGCTTCAAAATTCAAACCCAAATTTTTTTCCTTTTTTAAAAAATTCATTAAATAAGAATATTAATAATTATGTTATCTTTAGTATATATTAAAACAAAAATCTTATAACATCATCTTAAACAATCTGGGCCCTTGATTGTATTTCAATCCTATGTTTTCCAACCTTAGATCAAATTGCTGACATCATCTTCCCAAATGGAATGTATTTTATTCCAATAAGAGCTTTCCACAAAATTATCTTAAATCCGTTGAAATGGAATGTATTTAATTCTAATAAAATCTTACCGGATTTTAAATCTTGAATTTTCGGTTATAAAGTTTTTAAAATGTTCAACTTTAAAAACATATTACTAAAAAAATTTCAATTAAAGCATTAAATATCAACCATTAATATAAATTCGTTTATATTAGTAAACCATTAATATATAAAATCCATTTTTATTAGGAAACCATTAATACCAAAAAATCAGATTCAAATTATCACATACATATACGATTCATCTCTGAATACACAACTCACACTTATTTTCAATCGTTGTTTTTCTTTAAACCTTCTCCTACAACATCATTCTTATTGCTTATAACTTTCATCATCATTCTCTGTTTCAAACCTTCGTTTTTGTACACTAGAAGGTCAGTATCTTCTTTCACTTTTTTATATGGCATAATTTCGTATATACCCTTGCTAAACGTCAAAATATCGTATTGGCCCGGTCTAAACTTTAAATATCGTATTGGCCCGGTCTAAACTTTAAATATCGTATTTGTCATTCTTAATATTTTTTAATATCGTATATACCCAAATCTATTTTTTTGGTAATTTTTATTGATTCATAATCTTATTTACTATTTTAAAATCATTAAACCAAAAAAAAAACAAATAGACAATATTGCCCTTAGTTGTAAATTGCAAAACAACAAATCATTTTTTTGAAGTTAATTACGATCGCTTCTTCCCTATATAGTATATACCAGATTGCTACCAAGGTTTAAGGTTTCATCACAACATTAATCATCTAAGTGACAAAAAAAATGCAAAAACAGGAAATGCCTCTTAACAAAACCTAATCGTTGTAAAATCAACAAGAAGTAAACATACACTAAAAAAACCTAGCTTCAAATCGTAAAGATTCAATGGAAAAGTGGAAAAGAACTGACCTTCCATTTAGATGAAACAAAATCAATTGCAGGAGCATATGTATTTACTTTCCATTGGCATCGTAATCCAAACAACCTCCTGCGTCTTCCCTATTGCCGGCACCCCTACCTTAAACTATTCATTCCCAAATCTTTTGATGGCATCTCGAATTCCGAACACTTGACAATTTCTTATTCAATCTCTCTCGTGATTTGGAAGTTTGCATTTATCTCATTGATTCAAATAAAAACAGCTTTGAGTAAATAGCTCTGTATTGCAATACTGTAGATCAATTTTTGTCATCACTAAGGGTAATATTGTCCATTAGCTTGTTGATTTTAGTTTTAATGATTTTAAAATGGTACAAAAGATTATAAATCAATAAAAATTAATAAAAAATAGATTTGGGTATATATGATATTAAAAAACATTAAAAATGGCAAATACGATATTTAGAGTTTAGGTCGGGTAAATACGATATTTAGAGATTTAGGAGGGGCATATACGAAATTCTGCCTTTTTATATTTTTTTCGATTATTTTTTTGTTCGTGTATCAAATATATGTATTCATATATTTCAATTTTCTTTGTCACAAATTATATGAAATCGGTTAACTACTTTTCTGAAACTTTTCAAATAAATAGGAAAAGATATTACATACCTTTAATCCAGAAAAAATAATAATGTACTTTGATGGAAACCAGTTAAAACACAATATAACAAAGTACTTTGATGGAATGACAAATGCACCCTACCCGTTTTCATGTTCATTGTAATCAATTTTTTTGTGTATTCGTTTAGCATGATACTTCCATTTTTTATACGAAGAGTAAATCATTAATTTTGTATGTACAATGTTCATCAGAATGGTAAATCAGTAATTTAATTTAAACATTGATCAAATCATGAGCTGCTACTATTTATGTTTGTTTGATTATCTCAACTTGATTACTGTTTTTGATTGTATATAATATCTTAAATTGCTGGCTGAATTACAGGGATTGCAATATTTGTATAGAACTCAAATAATTTGTTAAGAAAAATATATGGTAATACCGAATGGAAAATTGAGGATAAGGGTATAATAGGAATAAAGATATATTTTTTTAGTGTTTGAATATAAATTAATATCCTAATATGATGGTTGAATTACAACATTTGTAACTTTAAATTGAAATCATAACTAAAGGTTATTGATATTGTTTGATGGATTTTTTTTAAATGCTAAGTATGATTTTAAGGTTTAGGGGCAGAAATGTAATTTTATTTGGGATAGAATAAAGAAGGAAGATTCGAATTTACCTTTTGAAGGTATCAATAAACTCCTAAATTTATGTGATTTATTTTAATTTGATTACAATTAGATGCATGAAACCTTTAAGTAAGGAAATA